TTTACATTTTTACTGCTTTGTCAAGACCATGGCAGGTACACTGTCCAATATGTTAAAGAAAAAACCCTATCTAATAAAGAGGGAATATTTATGCAGGGGAGGGCATTTTGGGGTGACCGGGCTGTGGGATCAGGCCTAAACAGGCAGTCGGACATCCTCCGAGGGGTCCCAGATTGGAGAGGGTGCAGGTTGGGCTGAGGGACCACCACCACCACCACCACCACGAATTTGCACCATGCACAAATTTGCACTGGGCATCTAGTCTATATGATAAAAGCCCAAGCGACCATTGCAGGGGAACTATTAATAGAACAATTGGTCGCTATGATGCGCCCTGACCACTTGGGGGCAGATGCTCAACATAGGAGCTGCCCCCTGGTGGTCAGTGTGCTCCCACAGGAGGAGTGCGCTTAGCCAGAAGCCAGGCTCATGGCTGGCGAGCGCAGCGAAGGTGGCAGGACCTCTCCCACCTCCACAGTAAACTAAGGAGCAGCGAGCTAAGCTGTAAGGAGCAAGTAGGCTGGCGGTAAGGAGCAAGGGCTCCCGGACTATGAGAGGGATGCCTGACTGCTGGGAGTGAGCCTAAGCCGGCAGGCAGACATCCCCCAAGGGGCATCGGGCTGTGAGAGGGCACATGCCAGGCTAAGGAACCTTCCCTCTCCCCCTCCCAGAAGTGAGCAAATTTCAGGCACCGGCCCTCTAGTATATGAAGAAAAGCTTTTGTTTCTTCAACTCAAGTGCATTTCTAGAGCTATGAAATTCTCTACTAAATGTCTTTGCACATAAAAATCGTGATAAGGGGCCACATTTTATTATTAAAAATTAATACATATAATTAAACACATATTGCTCATAACTAATAAAAATTAAATGAAAACTTTATAATCTCTATTATTCCTATCTCTTTCTGCATAATCTTAAAAAATAACATTCCTAGAGAACGAAGGTGGCAGCATAGGTTAACACACCTAATCTGCTGCCGTGCACAATTTCAAATATACAACTATAAAATAAAAGTCTATCACCCTAAACCCAAGGGAAATCTGGCTGAAAGGAAGACCTACAGCTAAACTGAAAGAGAAAGAGGAGAATTCCGTGCACAAGCGCGAAAAACTGATGTGGGGGGGGCGCGGACACGATATGGGCTGGCGGAGGGCGCTGCTTTCTTCAACCCGAAGACAGACAAGCTCCCGATCTCTCTGAAGTCCAGTTTCTGGGGAGAGGCTAGACTGTCTGCCATCCGGTTGGAAAGTGAGGGTGGCTGGCTTGCAGAGCTTCATGCAAGAATATTTATTTGCTGTGCTGTGATGCGAGACATGAGGAAACGCGTGGAGACACAGGACGCAGCAGCCATGGTTGTTGGCCACACCCCAGCCTAGTGATGCCTTGAGACTCCGCCCCTCACAATACATTCAAGCTCCAAGCAGCGACTTTTGCATACGAATGGCCCTCTCAGTTGCAGTTTAACCTAACAAAGGAGGAGAGGACTGTGGTTCACACTGTAGCTCCTGCAGGGTGCAGTAGCTGAACCTCAGGCACCCCATTGGAGATCCAGAAGCCAGTGTTCCTAATGCTCAGTTTTAACCTCTCACACCCATGAGTGACACATTCGGGAGATGGATTCAGTGAGCACCAAAGCCCCACTGAAACAAGGCGTGTCTCCAGCAAAGCAGTTCTCCCTTTATGACACAGCAGGTCCTCACAGACAATTGGCCTGGAGTCAATTCCTCCCAGTGTACCAACAGCAATCAAGGCTTAATTACACTCGTCCCACAAAGGGATATAGCAAAAGCGTCCACCTCAGGTGATTGGGGAAGCTGAGCTACTGGCCCCTATAGGTCAATGACTACACAAAGCCACTCCATCAATACAGGGAGGCAGCCAAAATGAGGAGACACAGAAGCATGTCACGAATGGGAGAGATGGAGGAAAGTAAACTACTGGACAACACAGAGTTCAGAATCACATTTATAAAATTACTCAAGAATCTTATAAAAACCTTTGAGAAACTTAATGAGACCTCCAAGAAGCTTTCTGAGACCTTCAAAGACCTTAATGAGAATACCAAAAATATGGAAAAGGACCAGCCAGAAATTAAGCATACACTGTCTGAAATAAAGAATATATAGAAACTCAACTATAGATCAATATGCCCCAAGAACCAAACCAAAGATCTGGAATATAAGGAAGCAAAAATCACCCAACTAGAGAGCAAAATAAAGAAGAATCCAAAAGTGTGAGGATAGCATATGCAGCCTCTGGGACGGCTTAAAGCATACCAACATCCGGATTTTTGAGGAGCCAGGAGAGCGAGCAGGATATTGAAGGCCTTATGAAATAATGAAAACTTTCCCCACCTGGTGAAAGAAATAGACTTACAAGTTCAGGAAGTGCACAGAACCCCAAACAAAAGGAATCCAAAGAGGACCACACCAAGACACATCATAATTAAATGCCCAGGGCAAGAGACAAAATCTTACAAGCAGCAAGAGAAAAACAGCTAGTTACCTACAAAGGAATACCTATAGGACTGTCAGTTGATTTCTCAATAGAAACTATGCAGGCCAGACGGGAATGGCAAGAAATATTCAAAATGATGAACAACAAGAACCTACAACCAAGATTACTCTACCCAGCAAAGCTATCATTCAGAATTGAAGGGCAGATAAAGTGCTTCACAGACAAGAAGAAGAAAAAGGAGTTTATCAACACCAAACCAGGATTACATGAAATGTTGAACGGTATTCTTTAAGAAGAGGAAGAAGAAAAAGGTAAAGGTAAAAATACTATGAACAACAAAAAGACATCAAATACATATCTACTAACAAGTGAATCTAAAAATCAAGGGAATAAAAAAATCTGAAGAACAGAATGGACTGGTGAATACAATAGAATCAGGGACATAGAAAGGGATTGGACTAACAATTCTCAGGAAGAAGAGGGTCTGAGGGGTGTGGGAAGAGATTTGACAAAAATCTTACACCTATGGATGAAGACAATGGTGGGGTAAGGGCATGGGGTGGAGTTGGGAATCAAGTGGAGGGGAGCTATTGGGGGGTGGGGGGGGGGAGAAAGGAACACCTGTAATAATCTGAACAATAAAAACTTATTATAAAAAAATAATAAATAACATTCCTCTTTCAGATCCCATTTACCTTTAGCATTGTAGCATCCCTCTTTCCTCACGCTTCTAGAATTCTGACCACATTTCAAGCTCTAAATGGCTAGGAGTTGTATGAATTATGTTCAGGACTATAAGACACTTAGGGAAACTTAGTATTTTCAGTGAATAAATTATTACTAAACCGCCTTTCTTTCCACTCATTCTGTTAAAATATTACATTTATCCCATACTCAAAATTTCTCAGATGTAAGGAGAAAGACTAAAAAGAAAACTCTCACCTTACTGAAATAAACTGTGCTAGGAAATTAAATGAGATACTATGCATTCTTAGAGAAAATCCTTCCCCCCCTTTTGCTTCTACAAATTTCCCTCCTCTTAATTATTAAGAAGACTCCTAAAGTCAATGTATCAGGTCCGACCCCATTCTGCTTTATCTTTTCACCATCTATAGCTTCCCATAGAATGGTGAAGGGAAAAAAAAGGGGGGGGGGCGTAAACAAAATTTGGGCAAATTCTAAAATGCCATCATCCCATTATCATGGTTCCACTAAATTAGGTTTTAGGTCCAACATCTCCCGTGTACGTGAATGTAAGAATTCTCTAACCCTTCTGAATTGAATGATCAATGAATACAGTTGATGTCCAAACATTTCCTTTCTCTTAGTGGGCCATTTAGTGTCACAAGAAGAGCCCTCCTCCCTTTAGGAAGTCACAAAAATCTACCTTCGTTGCCTGCACACCTGGAAAAGCACAGGCTACCTACAGGCCCTGACGTGTCACCTTCTGGCTCAGATAACGCTGCCTTTGCAGCTGCTGCTCACACCCACCCAACGAGGAGTGAGCGTCCTCCCCACCCTCGGTGTGTAACGGGAGGGGCTGTCGTCGGAAGAGATTCCTGTATCAAGAGCGCTCAGCTGGACAGCAGACATCCTACTACGTTCATCTGCAGGAATGGGGCGAATAGGACGTCTTCCCCGCAGAGCCGCGGGCGCCGCGCAGGCTCGGCCGAGGGGGCCGGGAGGGAAAGCCACAGCCTCCCCCGGGCAGGCCTGGTTCCACCCTCCAAGACGCGCTCGCTCACCACCCAAGCCGTCGTCGCTGGCAGAGAGACCCACCCGACGACAGCGACAGCGCCCGCCGCGCTCCGGTCTGCGTTCCGAAGCCTCGGACCCTCTCGCGGGCCCCGGGCCTGGAACCAGTGAACACAACAGGCACAGAAACTGAGAACCCGGGCTGCTAAGCGTTCGAACCGCCGCGGGAACCGTTGGAGACGCGCCTCCGGGGGCGGTGCCAGCTCCGCCCCCGACCCCTTCCGCTCCGCCTCCGCGCGGGGCGACGTAAGAGGAGGCGCAGGGCCTGCCGGGAATCGTGGTCTGACGGCGCGGCCCCTGCCGGCTCGCTCGGAACTACATTTCCCACAATTCCCCGCAAAGGCGCCCTTTGGCGTGCAGGAAGCTATGGGAACCGGGAGTCGTGGTCTGATGGCGCGGCCCCTGCCGGCTCGCTAGGAACTACATTTGCCACAATTTCCCGCAAAGGCGCCCTTTGGCGAGCAGGAAGCTATGGGAATCTGCGGCAGTGGGCGTGCGAAGGCGGGCGGTGCTCACGCCGGCCGGGAGGGAGGGAGCCGGGACCAGGGAGGGTGCGGGAAGGGACTGCTGGCCCCGCCCTCCGGTCCCACCCTTTAGAGGTTGGCGAATGCTCCGCCGTGGGAGTGTTTGCCGCCGCTGCGGCCGCCACCGGGAGTTTCCTCTGGCTCCAGGTTCCCCTGCCGAGCCAACCACGCGGAGTCTGGGGAGGCAAGCGGCGGAGCCTCCGTGCCGACCACCCACACCTCCCCCGCCTCTCCCAGCCCGAGATCGCCCGCCCGGCAGGGATGGGCGAGAAGGCCTGGCTGCCCTTCCCGGTGCTGCTCCTGGCCGCTCTGCCCCCGGCGCTGCTGCCGGGGGCGGCGGGCTTCACGCACTCCCTGGACAGCGACTTCACGTTCACCCTCCCGGCCGGCCGGCGCGAGTGTTTCTTCCAGCCCATGCCCCTGAAGGCCTCGCTGGAGATCGAGTACCAAGTAAGTGCGGAGGCCGCGCCCGCCTCCGTCCCTCAGCCCGGCCGCTCCGCGCCATCGTCGCCTCCCGCCGCTGAGGAACTTGCCGGGGCCGCGGGGCGGCGGGAGGCGAGGCTGCGGGGCCGCGGGGAGCCGCTGCCTTCGCGCAGGCGCGCGGCCGCCCGGAGCCGCGAAGTTCGGCGGGGCCGGCGCCCGGCTCTCCGCCTTTTCCCCTTTCCTCCCGTGGGAGAGGGGCCAGCGCTGCTGAGGCCGGTGGTTGTTTTTTTTGTTTTTGTTTTTTTTCTCGGTTTCGTAATTCTCCCATCGCTTTGCTAGGCGGTATAGGCTCGGATGCTGAGAGTTTCACAATCCGGGACTCATACACGTTCTCCTTCACCATTGGGTGAGATGGTGATGTTTGTCTTATTCACGCCACCATCCTCACCCAAAATGCAAAGATCGTAAGTCTTCACTGTCATTTCTTCAGTTAAGGGTTTTTGAATGGGGCCACGGGATTGTTACTAAATCTGATTTTGGTATAATTTTGTGAAAAAGACGGTTGTATGTAACAGTACATTTCCTTATCAGTTGCAGGTTTTTTTTTTTTAATCAAGTTAGATCTAATTGTATATAGTAAGGCAGTGCAACCTTTCATTTCAGCTTTATAAGCTTTTCTCCCATATCACTGGTTTCTTTTTATCTGCATGATATTATATAGGGAATTGCTTTCATTTATATAGTCCTCTGGTAGAGGGTGATTTTTTTGGAAAAAATCTTGTGAGTGCAACACAGCTAATTTAGATGTCTCAAGGTAGCACTGCAAAAAGATGCGTTGGTGTGGTTCATCTATTAATTTTTTTTTACAAGTTACATAATTTATAATCATGTGTCACTTTTATAAAAAAAATATATATATATTTTTTTAATATATTTTATTGTTTTTCTTACAGAGAGGAAGGGAGAGGGATAGAGAGTTAGAAACATCGATAATAGAAAAACATCGATCAGCTGCCTCCTACACATCTCCTACTGGGGAGTTACATGCCCTTGACCGGAATCGAACTTGGGACCTTTCTGTCCACAGGCCGATGCTCTATCCACTAAGCCAAACCGGTTTCAGCATATTTTTTTTCTTGATTTCTCAGAGGAAGGGTGAGGGAGAGAGAGGTAGAAGCATCAATGATGAGAGAGAATCAATCACCCACTGGCGGTGGAGCTCGCAGCCCAGGCGTGTGCCTTCGATGGGAATTGAACCCGGACCCTTCAGTCCACAGGCCCCTTGCTCTATCCACTGAGCAAAACCAACTGGAACAGGTGTCCCTTTTATTAAGTTGATGTAGGGAATCTTTTTCAGTAACAGGTACTGTAATATAGAGCAAAATAAAGAGTTATGCAGAATTTTCATCCAAAGGGACTTTAGAATTAGATTATTTATAGATGTATAAGGTAAGCATAGAGAGCTTAGTCACATAATTAGCAAAACCAAATCCAGACCTCAGCATTTAAAAAATTCCAGTCTAGTTCAAAAGTTCACTTACTGAACAGTTACTATATGCCAATAATTGGGGGAGGGGAGGAAGAGAGGGTAAAAACAAAAGAAAGAGTCCCTGTTTTCAGGGGGTACTTGAAATATGTAAGGCTCATAAACAGGTAATTTCAATAAAGTGTGGTTAAGTGTTCATAGAGAAGGGCTACTTCTCTGGGGTTTCAGAAAAGGATACCTGAAGAAAATAAATTTGAATCTAGAAAGATGCTTCAGTGAAACAGATTCAAGGAAGAGAGGACATTTCAAAAAAAAAGAGCAAAATGAGCGTGGTGGTAAGAGATCAACCGAAGGACTTGTATCCATGCATATAAACAACCAATGGATGCAGGACACTGCGGGGGGCGGGGTGAGGGCATGTGCCAGGGGGATAAGAAGGGAAGCAGGGGGAAGGTCAATGTGGGGGGGAAAGGGAGGGAGGAAAGGAGACATATGTACTATTATTTGTAATACTTTAAACAATAAAATAAAATTTAAAAAAAGAACAAAATGAGTATGCATTTTGCATTCTGAAAATGCATAGTAGGAGTGTTTTGGCTATAGGCAGTATGTATTGGAAGTTACAACTGCTGAGGTTTTATTAGACTTCAAGTCTAGAAAGTCTAGAGTGGAGTAAAAGCAAAAGAGATTAGAGAGGTCCAGAGGTTTTACCATGGATCATGATCTTAGCCTTGTGCACCATTTTAAATAGTTTTGTCTATTCTGTGCAAGGGCCATTGAAGATTTAAACAGCATGGTAACAATGTCAGATAGATCACTGCATAGGGTGGAAGATAGGTTTAAGTAAGTCAAAATTAGAGACAAGGAAAATAGTGAAATACCTGCATTTCCCTACTCCATGATTAATTTTCCAATAAGTAAGCTCTGGTTTTTGTGTTAGTGCTTAGAATTTTAAGGAAATAGTTGGGTTAGCTCTGAAGGGTCCCAGGTTGGATTCCAGTCAAGGAAGGGCACATGCCCAGGTTGTGGGCTCCATCCCCAGTGAGGAGCGTGCAGGAGGCAGCCGATTGATGAGTCTCACTCATCCTTGATGTTTCTCTCTTCCTCTCTGAAATCAATAAAAATATATATATATTTTTTAAAAAGAACACGTGATAAGGCATTGAGGAGTAAGACAGACTATTGAGCAATTGAAACATTATTACCATAGCATACGGACAGGGGAAAGTGGCACTTGACTATCATGTTCCATTAAAATCAGTGGGGAGTTTAGATTTGGATTATGGTACCTTTTAAAATAAATAATTTATATTTTAAATATGTATTATATATTTTTAATTGGCTTCTGTATTTTTAAAATATATATATATTTTTTTATTGGTTTCAAAGAGGAAGGGAGAGATAGAAACATCAGTGATGAGAGAGAATCAATGATCATCTGCCTCTTGCATGTTCCACACGGGATTGAGCCTGCAACCCGGGTTTGTGCCCTGACGGGAATCCAACAGTCACTTCCTGGTTCATAGGTTGAAGCTTAACCACTTAGCCACAATGTCTGGGCAGCTTCCGTATTCTTAAGTGCCATTTTAAACAATTTCATTAAGCCTGATAGCCACTACAAAAACTAAGCTTTACTGAAATCTTTGCTTAGTTTTGTTATAGCTCATTTTGTGACTTAATGGATATGGGGTTTTTTCTTTTTTTTTTTTTTGAGGATAACCTGAGTAATTCTTTTAGTATGTTTTGAGTCCTTGGATATTTGAAAATTGCTTTTACTTTTTGCTTTCACTTCAGTAAGTACTATAAATTTATTTTTATCCAGGAACATTGAAGACATGGTTCCATTGTGGGTTTTTTGCATCTTCTATGTAAGAATTCTGATACCAATCCCAATTCTTGTTATTTTTCAGTCTTTACTGCTGGTGTTGGAAGTTTTTAGGTTATTCTTTTTAAATCCTTTGGAAGAGTCAGTAGGATTTTTGGATCTTTTTTCATTTATACTGCTTCCCATCTATTAAACCTTTTCATCTAATGAATTTTATCTTTTGTAGCAGGAATTTTTATCCTCTTATCTGATGATTTCTGATGATTAATTTATCTTGGTTCTTTCGTTTTGAAATGCTTATTAGATGAATAATTTAAAATCTTTAGCTCTGTCCTTCATAAGGGTGTTACCATTTTCCTCATACTTTTGATCGTTACTTTTTCACCTTGTTCTGAGATGTCTTGTTCTAATGCTCTAATTTTTAGCCTTCATCTTTGTTCATTCTGCTAATATTATTGTTTATAATGTACATTTAATTGTGAGTTTTTAGATCAATAGATATTGGTAGCTAGATAGAGCCTTTGCTCAGTACAGTATCTTCCAGAAATTCCTTCCTCTTCAAGTCTGTTAATAGGCTTCCTAGATCTCTGGTGGTGGTATGGATTATTTATATTATGTTTTCTTCATTTTATTGGGATTTAAAGAAGAATTGTATATATTTAACTTGCCATTTGAAGCCAGTTTTTTTGTTTGTTTGTTTTGTTTTTGTTTTTAATCAGTAAGTAGAGCACACGAGTAAGTAAACTTATATCATTCCATTAAAACCACCAAGAAAAACAGAGTGGAGTGTTTTATAAGAAAAAGAGTAGCCTTTGGAGGGAGATTGGCAAGTCCATATTTTCTGGCCATGCCCCTTATTTGTTGTATCATCTTGGGAAAATTCCTTCTCTGTGCCTTCATTTTTTGTTTTTTATTAAAATGAGAACAAGAATAGGACCTATGTTTTAGAGTTGTTGTGAGGAGTAAATTAACCCGCATAAAGCACTTGAAAGACAATGTGTGGCCGGGACCGGTTTGGCTCAATGGATAGAGCGTCGGCTTGGGGACTGAAGGGTCCCGGGTTCGATTCCGGTCAAGGGCATGTACCTTGGTTGCGGGCATATTCCCAGTAGGGGGTGTGCAAGAGGCAGCTGATCGATGACTCTCTCTCATCGATGTTTCTGGCTCTCTATCTCTCTCCCTTCCTCTCTCAGTACGAAATCAATAAAATATATTGGGGGAAAAAAGAAAAAAGAAAGACAATGTGTGGCATAAACTGTAATTGTGAGCTGCTCTCTTCGCAGCAGCAGCAGGAGGAGGACATTTGGGGATTGTAAAGGAACAGATTGTGTTCATTGGCCAGTAAGTAAGCAGCCTACCTTGAATATATTGTTCATTTGGGGTAATAACATATGGAAGTGTTGAAGAAGTCAGAGTCAGATCATGGTGACCTCAAGTTGTAGACTATGAAGTAGCAAATTTTTACTTTATTCTACAGGGCTTCTCAACTTGAAGGCACTGTTTTAGGAAGATTATTACACTAATACCTGTAAGGCCTAAATTTTCATGAGAGCCAAAAGGAATTTGTAAAAAAAGAGATCAGTTCCAAAAATGAATGGAATTGAACTAGATGATCTTTCTGCTCTTTTCTAGCCATAATGAATGAGTCCATTGACTTTCTTACCCATCTAGGTTTATAAAGAAAGTCTCTTCATCATGTGATCTACTTTATATAGTTTATTTTCAGAATTTGTAATATGTGTTGTGTTCTCTTCTGTATTATTCTATAGGTTTTAGATGGAGCAGGATTAGATATTGATTTCCATCTTGCTTCTCCAGAAGGAAGAACCTTAGTTTTTGAACAAAGAAAATCAGATGGAGTTCACACGTAAGTAATCTTAGTTGATTCCTTGAGCTGAATAATACCAATGAGCCATCTGCAAGGAAAGGAAATTTAGCACATTTGATATTAAATATCAATATTAAATTACTCCATATTAACATTTTATTTCATTTTTTCATTGATTTCAGAGAGGAAGGAAGAGGGAAAGAGATAGAAACATCCATGATGAGAGAGAATCATGGGTCAACTGCCTCCTACAAGGCCCCACTGGATATCAAGCCCACAACCTGGGCATGTGCCCTTGACCAGAATAGAACCTGGGACCTTTCAGTTTGCAGGCCAATGCTCTATCCACTGAGCCAAACCAGCTAGGGCTATTATTATTTTTATAATCCTCACTATAGGACATGCTTAACCGGGTTTCAAACCTACAACGTAGGCATGTGCCCTGACTAGGAATTAAATCCTAAACCCTTTGAGGTACAGGATGACGTTGCTCCAACCAATTAAGCCACACCAGCCAGGACTCCATATGAACATTTTAAACAGTCTTTTAAATTTTTTGATGTATTTTTATTGATATTAAAAAAGGGAAGGGAGAAGGATGGAGAAACATTCGTAATGAGAGAATCATTGATTGGCTGCCTCCTGTGGGGATGGAGCCTGCAGCCCACGCATGTGCCCTGCTTGGGAATTGAACTATGATTTCCTGGTTCATGGGCTAATTCTCAACCACTGAGCCATACTGGTGGCCTAAAAGTCCTAGATAGTGGTCTAAAAAACTAGAATATTTTCCATTAATCTTTTCTTTTTGTTAAGACTTTTTGTATTGATCCTGTTTTTCCCTTGCTTTGGTTAAATAGATGAGTATTATATGCAGTCTATTGTGTCATTTTGAACCTACCTTTTTGGCTAGCAGAGGCTTTCCATTTTAACTGTAAATTATTATACTTCCAGGTAATTATCATCTCTGCCCATTCTTTTCTTCCTTAAAACAACAGTAAAATACATTTGTGAGTGAAAGTAAAAATTATTTTTTTAGAAGACCTAAAAATAAAAGGTGTGACCATAGGAAACCATATAAAAAAAATACTTGTTATAACACTTTTAGTTTAAATTTGACAACTGGCCATATAATCTCTTCTTGCATCTCATTTTCCTTTTTTTATTTGTCACTGGTGTTTTCTTGTTCCTATTATTTTACTTCAGCTCTTTCGTTACTCAGTATTGTTGTGTTAAAACTAAACTGAGTTTATAGGAAAGAAGAGCAAGTACAGAATATCTAATATTTGCCATAAACTAGGCTTTACATTTTATATGCTTCTAAATTAATTATTCCAATCCACTGTGAGATAGATTCTTTGATTGCCTAATTCCCATTTTAAAGAAAAGGAGGCTCAGAGAAATTAAATATGTGTGGGTGTATGTGTGTGTGTGTGTGTGCGCGCATACACACACACACACACACACACACACACACAGAGTGGCCAGATTAATATGATCTCTGAACGCATAATAATCTGGCCACTCAGTGTATATTCTATATAATAAAAGGCTAATATGCAAATTGTCCCCTCAACCAGGAGTTCAAATAGCAGGCAGGCCAACTGCCCATGTCCCTTCCCCCTGGCCAGGCTGGCCGGCCCCGGACCTCAAATACACACACACACACACACACACACACACACACACACACACATTCTCTCTCTCTCTCTCTCTCTCTCTCTCTCTCTCTCTCTCTCACACATACTACGTGAACAGATTATTGTGTATTCAGAGATAATCTGGCCACTTAGTGTATATTAAGCAGAGGTAGGATGGACCAAAATATTTTTTTAAAATATATTTTATTGATTTTTTACAGTGAAGAAAGGAGAGAGATAAGAACATCGATGAGAGAGAAACATCGATCAGCTGCCTCCTGCACACACCCTACTGGGGATGTGCCCGCAACCAAGGTACATGCCCTTGATCAGAATTGAACCTGGGACCTTTTAGTCCACAGGCCGATGCTCTATCCACTGAGTCAAATCAGTTAGAGCTGGACCAAAATATTTACTTCGATCATACGATGTTTAGAACATCCCTGGCACATAGTACATGTAAGTACTAGCAATTATTTTAATTATTGGTCTTTATTAACCAACATCGCTGCCATGGTAATTGATAGTAAATACTGAATACATGTATGAATGAATGAGGGGGGAAATGTCTCCAACATAATTTTTCAAGATACTCATTTTAGTGTGCTTTGTAAAGCAGCTTTTTCCTATGTAGAACTCAGGAAAAATAGATAAATTATCATTTTAAAAGTCAGTGTATATTGATATGCTTGGGATTAATTATACTTTCACTTTGATAGGTATATGAACAAAAACTAAAAATGTAGTTCACCTTTCAATTTCAGAATATAGAAAACATAGTTTCTCTCAGTTTTTATTTCTCTACAATTTTATGCATTCCTTTAGAGATAAATTAATATTGACTCTTAGTGGGAAAAGGTATTTTATAGCTTTAGTATATAGAATTGCCTCTTGTCAAAACATTGGGAGACAAAAATGAATTTATAAGAGTGCATTTATTGAGTTCTTTTTGATGTGCCAGGAAACTATTCTAAGCACTTTACATGTATTTGTTTATATATTATTCTTCACCACAGTCCTATGATATTTTTATCATTTTACCAACGAGGAAATTGAGGCAAGAGCTCTTAAGTAAGCTGATGGAAGGTTACACAGCTAGTCAACAGGGAAGCCAGGATCTAAAGCCCAGACAATCTCACTCACTTCTTAATCACTACATGAAATTTACAGATCTACTTTGTAAAAATTAGATTTCAATACAAATTTATCTTTAGCTATATTAACTTTTTATTTATTATTATTAATATATTTTATTGATTTTACACAGAGAGGAATTGAGAGGGACAGAGAGCTAGAAACGTCGATGAGAGAGAAACATCGACCAGCCGCCTCTTGCACACCCCCCACAGGGGATGCGCCCGCAACCAAGGCACATGCCCTTGACCGGAATCGAACCCGGGACCCTTCAGTCCGCAGGCCGACACTCTATCCACCGAGCCAAACCGGTCCCGGCTAGCTATATTAACCTTTTAAAGACAACTAAGATCTCAGTTATAGCATTGAAATAGTTTTTTCTTAATTTAAATCTTTAAAATAATACTGTCCTTTTAGAAGTTGGGGTTAGTAAAAATTTCTCCAAACAGCCTTAAAACAGATTAAATAATACCTATTACCTAGCATTGCCTGTAAACGAGGAGTGATATATAAATGCATTTTTCTAAACAATGGAATTAATATTACCCTAACTACATTCCAAAGATGTACTTAATTGGTAGGAGGCCTGGAAGAAAGCATTTAGGAAAATCCATCACTGCTTTTGAAATAAAACACCAAAAAACTCACTTGACAAATTAATCTCAATTGAAGGGGAGGTTTGTAGTCATAAATATTGAAGTTCATTGTGAGGTATCATGTATCTAGTTTTTACTTCAGTTCTTTTCAAAAATTATGTGAAGGTCATTTACCGTAATGCCAAGCACATCTAGATGTCAAGTACAGTATTAATACTTAAATATACAGGGGTGGGCAAACATAGATTTACACTTGTGAGTACTCGAAACAGAGTTGATTTTTGTATTACTTATTGTATTAAACTATAAACCTATTTTTGCCTACCTCTCTATATTTCTAGGTTGCCTCTCTCAAAAAATTATGTTATCTTTTAAAGCTAAGAAAGCCTATTAGTAAGTTGTCCAATTATTATTTACTGTTACGTCTATCTGCAGTAGTTTTTCCTTTGATTTGAAATAGAAGTGCTGATGTAATGGAGGACATGTACTTTTTTAATACAGGGTAGAGACGGAAGTAGGGGACTACATGTTCTGCTTTGATAATACATTCAGCACCATTTCTGAGAAGGTGATTTTCTTTGAATTAATCCTGGATAATATGGGAGAACAGGCGCAAGAACAAGAGGACTGGAAGAAATATATTACTGGCACAGATATGTTGGATATGAAACTAGAAGATATCCTGGTCAGTATGGTCTATTAATAAAATAATGAAAATTATTAACATCCAGAGGTCTTACTCTGTGATAGGCCCTGAGCTAATTATTTTAACTGCATTATCTCATGTAATCCTTACTTTATCAGGATTATCCCCATTTTCCAATGAGGAAATTGTATGTTAGGGGGATTAAGGAATGTTCCTATCACATAACCAGAGAGAGAAAGAGAGAACTAAAATTTGAATACAGGCTCTTAACTGTAAAACTTCCTTAGAATGTTCACTAACAGGAATATAATAAGCTGTTGCATAGGTACTTGCACTGAGTAATTTGTAAACACTTAAGATATACAGGCATTTTCCCCACATCATCGTTTTTATAACATGGAATTTGATATTGTTTGATTAATTTGGGAACACTATTTACAGTACTCAAACCAGACCTAGCAGTTATAAACTAGCACTGCACTCAAGAGTGCAAACCTAGGATAAGGCTTCTTTTCTTGAGCTGCTTTAAGCTTTATTATAAACATGAACAATGAAATGTATGTGTATAAGAACCTATTTGCATTTCATAAGAGTACTGCCAGTGCTAGAGGGAAAGGTCTAATCCTTCAGCCACAGCTCGATGTGAAACCAAAGGATAGAACTTACGTGGTGATATTTATAAATAGCATGTGTAACTCCATTGTAGAAATTCTTGCAGGAGAAATATTATAACATAGTTATTTCCGGTTTGAAACTGTAACACTTCTAATACTCTTATCAGCTAAACTTTAAAAATAATGTGATATTTTGATAAATATATCTGAGTTTATTTAGGAAAGGAATGATGAAATTATAGCAGAAGAGACATAATTCAGTTGTAATTTTAAGTGGTCCTATCATATGTGTAATTCCTTGGTGACTGAGCTCTCTGAGTCTTTGTTTCCAACCTGGAAAATGGGGACAATACTTCTAGAGTTATGAGGCTGAAATGTGATACACTATGTGTATAAATAGTGTCTAGCACATAATAAATGTTAGTTTTCTTATCTTTTCCACTGGTGTTACTGTGAATAGAAACTGAAAGGATAAAGTTTGATTGGCTTGAATTTTTACCATGACATTTTAAAAATATATTTTTTTATTGATTTCAGAGAGGAGTGGAGAGGGAGAGATAGAGGCTCAATGATGAGAGAGAATCGATTGGCTGCCTCTTACGGGTCCTACACTAGGGATTAAGCCGGTAACCCAGGCATGTGACCTGACCAGGAATGGAAATGTGACCTCCTATTTCATAGGTCGACTCCAACCAGTGAGCCACACTGGCCGGGCTACCATGACAGTTTCTTATCTCATCATGATTTCTTATATATATATTAAACTTAGTTGAATTTTAGAACTAGAAGATGACTTAGATATTACTAATCTAGCTTCAGCCTCCTTCCTTTTCCCTTCCATTCCATTTTTTAGATAAGGAACTGGCTTACAATTAAAATGGAAATGCTGTGTCCATATTTCCACTATATTCCAATCTTCCTACCCATTTAAAAAACCTCAAACAAATGAACATAATCTTCCATTTTAATTTATGTTGCCAACAAGAACAAAATGCAAGTAGTTACAAATCTTATTGATACTTCACTGCATTCTCCAGATATTCACAGTTAAACAAAATGACAAGAAAGTTCCGATTTAAATATGGCTTAAAATACTTATTTTCCTTAAGAAAATAAATTGTCTTTCATTTACTTTCCCCAGACTTTGTATCACAATTAAAAACTTGAATAATTTTATATGTGACTAGCATCATTATGCTATTGAAAAGAACTATGATGCTTTTTTTGAGGAACTGAACTCCATATTTTCCTGGAAAATATCTGTATTTCTTTACAGATATGCCCATATGATATATTTTGAAGTTTTACAGGATCAGCACACCAGTCTGAAATTGAATATATTTTTTTACTTAAATAAGGATTTTAAGCAAAGTGCGTCTCTAGGAAAATCTGTTTCTTTGATTTTCTTATTTTATATCATTTGAAATCTCAACTAAATTTTACCTTATATTCTGTAGTTAGTTTTCATATGATTTCTGATCAGGTCCCTACTATAAAGTAGGTTTTTTTTCAGAAGATATGCAACTTAGAACAAATCTTGGTAAGTTTGTTTAATGAATGTGATCTTGGAATAAGTTTTTATTAACAATAGGTTATACTTGTTGCGTGTAAAGAATGCACAGATAAAGTTGAAATAGCTTTTAATTTCACTACTTTGTGAGAGAAAAACATTGTGTGTTTTTCTAAATGCTATATTGAACCAGACTAACATTCCAAGAAAAAAAAAATATTAACATACAATGCATTCATTATATAAAGGTAAAAACTTAAAAACTTATGTGTTCCTTTTTTTTTTTTTTAATATATTTTATTGATTTTTTTTTTACAGAGAGGAGGAGAGAGGGATAGAGAGCTAGAAACATCGATGAGAGAGAAACATCGACCAGCTGCCTCTTGCACACCCCCTACTGGGGATGTGCCCGCAACCAATGTACATGCCCCTGACCGGAATCGAACCTGGGACCTTTCAGTCCGCAGACCGACGCTCTACCACTGAGCCAAACCGGTTTCGGCTATCTGTTCTTTTTTAAAAAACATTTTCTTATAGTTACAAGGGCTAAGAAAATAATGTATGTAAAATTCCTGGCACTGTTTCAACTCAAATATATTTTCATTTTATTTAGTTTCAATTCATAGATTTGTTTCTGTTTTTAATAACTGTTTATAAATAATTTAAATGTGTCAGGAGAGCTATAACATAACCTTACAGAAGACCTTTATATAATCTAAGTAGCATCTGTTCCTTAATTAACATTGTGTTTAGCTATGAAATTTATATGAACAGGAAGGTTACTATAAAACACATTTTTAAATTAACTTATCATTACTGAGAATTCTTTTATAGTAAAATTATTTCTTTATTTCTAGGAATCCATCAACAGTATCAAGTCCAGACTAAGCAAAAGTGGTCATATCCAAACTCTGCTTAGAGCATTTGAAGCTCGTGACCGAAATATACAAGAAAGCAACTATGATAGAGTCAACTTCTGGTCTATGGTTAATTTAGTGGTAATGGTGGTGGTGTCAGCCATTCAAGTTTATATGCTGAAGAGTCTATTTGAAGATAAGAGGAAAAGTAGAACTTAAAACTCCATATCAAAACTCCATATTGAAAAAGAGATAGAAAAATGCAATAAACTGTTACAGTCAAGACCGTTAATAGTATTTCCAAAATGTTTTCAGTTATTACCGTAAGTGTGAAACAATTTTAATGTGAAAGAAAAGTCTTCACTTCAGTCTGTGCAAGTAATCTTATTGCTCCAGATATATTTAAGTGCATAGCAAATATTTTGCAGAGTATAGGTATAATTGAATGAAGCCATATTATTAATGGCATTTTCCTAACTTTAAAAAAATATGCAAATGTGTCACAGGTGATTTAAAGAAATGAATTTTGGACCTAAATGCAACACCAAACAATTTTGGTTTAAGATTTTTTTGTTGTTGATTTTTAGAGAGAGGAAGTGAGAGAGGGAAACATCAATGTGAGAGGAAAACATCTCTCTGGCTTCTGCACACCTCCTACCTGGAATCTAGCCCATAACCTGGGCATGTGCCCTGACCAGGAATTGAACTGGCAACCTTTTAGTGCAGTACGCCCAACCAACTGAGCAACGCCAGCCAGGCCTAATAAAGTTCTTGCTGGGTTTTTATTTTTCTCTTAATCCCCACCGAAGATTATTTTCCATTGATTTTTATTGAGTTTGGGGGTGCAGGCAAGGAGAGAGACACATCGATTGGTTGCTCCTGCACAAACCCTGATTGGGGTTGGAGATTGCATCTGCAATCCAGGTAAGTGCCCTTAACCAGTAATCAAACCTGCAAACCTTTGGTGCCTGTGCCAATGCTCTAACCATTGATCCACACCAGCCAGGGCCGAACAAATTTTTATTTATTTTTTTATTCATTTCAGAGAGGAAGGGAGAGATAGAAAAATCAGTGTTGAGAGAGATTACCTGCCTCCTGCATGTCTCCCACTGGGGGGATTGAGTTGCAACCCGGGCATGTGCCCTTGGACTGGAATTGAACCTGGGACCTTTCAAGTCTATAGGCCAATGCTCTATCCAGCTAGGCCAAACAATGTTTTTTAAAGATTTTCTTACCTAGAAGTTTCTTTGTAAATGTAGCAATTACAAATTAACTATAAATTTCCAACATATTAAGTTATAAATCATCTGATAATTAACCTAATCATGGATTGAATATATCTTTAGAAGACAAAGACTCAACTTTTCTGTTTTTACATTTGCATCTCTCCTCTAATGTAAATAGAAGCATAGCTGTGAAAAACAGATTTGGAGACTTCTATAACCAAATGTATTTCAGTTTAAAATATTAGCAAAAAAGTATGTTTTATATACTTATCTTACATTCCCAAAAGCTGACATTGTGATAATTCTCAAAAAATGCTAAATCATAATTATTAAAATTAGGACAAATTATCTTTTTTAAACATTGCTAAGTCTCCTTTAGGACTTATTCTGTCTAATCCTTAACTAAGGTATAGTATTTTAAAATTAAATGTGAGAGAAATAATTTTGTTTTTATGTTGTCAACAGTGTTATGTTAATTTTAACATGATTATTGAGTTGGATACATTATTACCAGCAGTTGTGAAGGAAATATTGCTAAAGGATCTGGGCCTAACATAAATAAATATCGCCTTTTCTGACTTCTCAAAATCAGTAAAAAAGAACTACTAAAGTCAATATAAAAAGAATTTAGATAAGTATCTATAACCATATTGATCCATCCTTAATACAAATCATGAGATAATTTCCAGTTAACTAGAAGAAATATTACTTTGCTATAAACTTTTTTACAACTGTTTTATTCTGTTTTGAATCATCTAATAAGTATTCAGGTACATTTTATTAAATATAAGTCCTATTGTAGTTTAGCACTGGGTATACATATTTATTATAAATTTTACTATAACTTTCATAAAATGATTTTTCTGATCATTTTATTGACATTCAAGTAAAATTTGAAACCCACAGCATCCCAAGTTTGAATATTCCATATATAACTTTATAAATAAAGTCTGTACTGTCCTGGCCTACTGCAGTCCATTGGGTCTTACTCAGATACTAGTAATTTAGCTACATCATTAATTGAATAGCATTTTTAGGTTATACCCGTTTGTAGTATTGTTTATAACAAATATCAGTTAAAAGCAATCAACTTCTAAATTTGAGTACAGAATCCCTGTGTAGATTAGTACTGCTGGCATTGTTAAGCAATAATTGATATCCAGAGAATGTTTTCATTATGATTTACACTCTGAGTGGTACAAAAAGATTTATTTCCCTTCTATGCCTCTGGGAGCACAGAAACTTGTTTCCCTACTTTTAGGCTTTTTTAAAATCAGATAAATGCCATGTATGATCAGTTACCTTCATTGGCTGAGAAAGTGCTTTAAGTGCCCAGGATAGTCCCTGTGACACATGCAAAACAAGGGCCAATAAGTCATTGCCTCTGAAGAGCCCTCTCCATCCCCCCTCCTGTTAACCTCCTAATGAGAAGCAAACTTAGATACTACAAAAACAGTACAACTACTGCATCTTTTCTGTGAAACTGTGATTAAGAATTCTACCTCTTATGAGTGGCTAGCTACTATACTGTACTCTTATTCCCCACCTAACAATGAATTTCTTACATCTTGTACATATAATTTGTGCCACTGGTGTTAAACCTACGATTCAGTAACTTTCACCATGTAACAATGGCCTTATTTGGAAAAGAATTTAGGAATATTGAGGACAATTTTATTTTTATAGACACAAAGTGAAAAGATATTATTTAAAAGAAGCATGTTACTTGTATTAGCCAAAAGAAGTAAAATTTACAAGCAAAGGACTAAATTTTGAAATATTCAGAAGCTATATTATTTGCTTCATGGTTTTTAATGTCAAAATTCAATTTCAAAGTTAAAATTATGCTAAAATTGAGTAAGCTATCAACAGCTTTTTGTCTTTCGCTTTTAATTAAATTTAAAATACTGCAATTTTTAAGAGAGGCCTAGCATTTCGCTCTGATTTGCATTTGGATAATTAATGATATGCTTTTCTTTCATGTGAATGTCAAGACATAAAGGGTTAATAATGGTTGAAATAGCATTGAAATGAATTACAAATTCAAAAGTAATTTCAGGTTTATCCTTCTTAAGCATTGCTGTTATGTCTTAACATTGAAAAAGACTTGAGTTCCTATAATTGTATGCTTCCTCAAATGATATTTTAAAAGATTGATTCAGCATATAATGGTATATCATCTGAAGTGTAATAATGCAGTGTTGTTCAAATTGCCTTATACTTGTGAACAACCATATTGAGAAATGAATACTGCACTGAGTGTAATAAAAATTTAAAAATCTAACTTGTCTATCAGTTGTTGTAAAATGCTAATCCTTCAAATCTTTACTGATCTCGTCTACTCGCCTTTCCAGTTGAAAACCCCTAGTTCACTGCATTTATTACATATCCTACCTTGCATTGGAGTTCTGTTTATATGTATACTTACTTATATATTGCCCAAACATGCATTAGAACTAAAAGATGCTCAAAATATAGAAGCAAAAATAATCAGTTTCGAAAGTTTGGAATGCTAAATAAGCAATCTATTCCTCTATCCCACCACAGGAATTGTTTAGGCCTGGCATACAGCTTCAGAATCTCAAATTAACCATCACAATTTGGGATTCTGGTGTCGGTTATCCTTGGACCATTACTGGGGATTTAGGGAAGTCAGAACTCCTTTGAATTCATTCACTTATAGAAATATTTTAAGATCTTAAAACTTAGTTAAAATAGCCTATCATAGTCCAGTGCTTGGGAGTCATTCCCTTCACACCTTCTAGACAAGCCATTCTTCACCCCAACCTGGTAGAATTCCTAAGGTACTTTCCTACTTCTACCCTCCTATTACTTTCAGGTGTCTGGGCTTTTGGAAGACTTGTGTCATTAGAAATTGGAGTCATACTACGTCTACAGTGTGTGTGTACTGGCTGGCCAGACCCCACCCATGCACAAATTCATGCACCAGGCCTCTAATACACACACACACAACAGTGGCCAGGTTATAATGCATTCAGAGATGATAATTATATAGAATTCGAACCTAAGATGACATGAAGGGATACTTTGAGATGATGAACTCAATCCTTGAAACTGAAAGAGGAAGACAAGAAAATGCAGAGCAGGTTAAAAATTTAGAGGTCTTCAATGACCATGAGTCAACAGCAAAATGAACAATGAGAATCAGTTATCCAACAATGAACTCCTTTATATAGAGAGAGACTACTTCCCAATCTTGGAAGTTTTCAAGTGGCAATATGATCAAATGTTTGAAAAAGGGATTATTTTTACATCTGATATCAAATGAAAGAATGAACTAATTATAATTAGTCTATCCTTTTTACAGTTATTTAAAATCTGAATTACCAATGCCATAAGTAGGAGACATGGCAGAGCTTCAAGAGACATATTTTTAAAGTTATAATTTGCTGGATTCTTGTTTGATACTCAAAAACAAATTGGAAATGAAATTATTATTTTTTATTTTTTTAAAAATATATTTTATTTATTTTTCACAGAGAGGAAGAGAGAGGGATAGAGTTAGAAACATCGATGAGAGAGAATCATCGATCAGCTGCCTCTTGCACACCCCCTACTGGGGATGCGCCCGCAACCAAGGTACATGCCCTTGACCGGAATCAAACCCGGCCGACGCTCTATCCACTGAGCCAAACCAGTCCCAGCTGGAAATGAAATTAACACAATACAATTTACAATCACTCCAAAGAAAACATATTTTGGTATAAATATAACAAAACATGTACAAGATCTATATGCTGAAAATTATCAAATGGAAAACAGCATAAAAATGGATTGGAAGTCTCGTAGTAAAAAAAGGGTCAATTCTTCCTTAATCTATAAATTTAACATTCCTACAAAAATTCAGCAAGGTTTGTTTTTTGTAGACAGACAAATTTATTCTAAAATATTTACATGGAAAAGCAAAGGACTGCCCTAGCCGGTTTGGCTCAGTGGATAGAACATCACCCTGTAGTCAATTCCAGTCAAGGA